TACATTTTTTTTAAATTTCTTTATGAGAATCCAGTTGACTTTTAAAATTTTTATTCTTTAAGCTCTCACACATTTAACTTCCATGTCTTCCATAACCATAGAATTCTGGTGACACTGTTTACTTGGAAAACACAATTTTATCTTTAAGATGTCTTATCCCTTTGCAAACCATCAGCTGCAGGTTGGGCTTTTCAACATTTTAAGTGTTGGTACCTCTCCTTGGGAAGAGGACATTTAAACATTGCCTTTGAAAGACACACTTAAGATTGCTCTTCGACTTGAGTCTTTGCAATCTGTATCCTAATATTTGTGAGTTTGGAGTCTGAGCATTAGCATATGTTGTGCTAATTTTTTAGTTAAGCATTGAGCTATCCGTTGCAAGTGGAGCAGTCTGTTTACAAACCACAGTGGAAAATCTCTTGTGATGATTCCTAATATTTTGCAAAATACATACTTGTTTGTTGTAAATCAGATTGACAAAGTGTAAAAGAGAATATGGGGAGGACCTAATCTCTGAGCCGCACATCTAATATGACTACAAAATCCATGGTTTTTGCTGCTCTGTTTTTTGTGGATTGGGGTTTTTTTTTGGTACATAAGCAGAGTTCAGTTTAGCAAACTGGACAGAAGGCCGATAGGAAAGATAGTCTTGAAGTAATTTAGCACTTCATCAGTGCTTTCTTTTTAAAATACAAGCGTAGAAATCCTATGAGCAGAAAGCAGACTAATTCTTACTGCATGTTAATATTTCAACACTCGCCAGGCAAAAAGAGGATGTTTCCTTCCTTTAGATGTTGAAGTGGCAGAGCATGCCAAGAAGTTTAGCAAGTAAACTTCCAGGGTTTAAAACAGGGGAAAAGAACCAACCCTAGGCTCTTAGAGTGCTGTCAAAGAAAAGGGATGAGACATCTGAAGGGGCACAGGACTTCCTTGATACTGGATTGCTTTCCGTAAGCAGAGTGTCACCAGTCTTCGAGAGCATGGCTCGTGATGACGGTCTTGTGTCAGTCCACCACGGGCAGAATGAAAGGCCTCCATTGGGATGCAGCTGAACTCGCCTTTGAGTTAAACAAACACCCCTTCCACGTTTGAGCCGCTTGGGCCAGACTTCAAAAGCATGCTACTGGATACGAATTTCAGATAGTATTTTTAAACTTGACCACTGCACCATGGTTTTTCCTCTTGTTATCTTGCTTTGTCATTGCTTGCTCTCTGCTACAGCGTACTGCTTGTAGGCAGTCCCTGTACACTGTATCATTATTTTCTTAGTTTTAGCAAATGTAAGTACTCCAGATGCCTTTCTGTAGCCGTTGACTGCATGGTACTGCATGCAAAATCATCTTTTTGTTCAGGCCATTGTAGAAGTCTGTGTAGAAGATCTCTCTGTGTTCCTGTGTGCAGTGCTAGCTTGGAGCATACATTGCAAATACAGTTTGTGTTTCACTGCTGTGGCTGTGCATTGCATGTGTGTGTGTTGCTGTGTATGCCAAGTTACAGGTACTGCAGGACATACGGTTTGAGTAATTAATTCACTTCAAGTAAGTACTAAAAAAAATATTAAAAAAAAAAAAATCTGTGCTTCCCTGGGCCAGAGAGTTCTATACAGTGGCTTTTGTCACCCATACTGTTGTGTAAATGCAGTCTAGTTGTTCTGCTCAGAACCTACAGAAAGGCATGAGACCAGCTGAATTTGAGACTGCCACCGTGTACACACTTACTCATGCTCTTTCTGTGGGTTCTTAGCTGGCAGTCGTGCGTAACTACCATGGGACACATGTCAAAGATTTTTAAAGGAACTGGTTCCTTATGGGAGTGTTGGTTTGGGTTTTTTGAAGAGACTGGAAAGGCCGTGATAGGAAGGGAGGTTTTGGATTGTCGGGTGAAGCAGCCACAGGAGAGCAGCACAAGGCAAGTGTCTTTTAGATAGCAGCAAAGGACACTTCAAAAAGAAATGAAGCATTGACATTTCTGATGGGAAGATCTAAATACAGATGAGAACAAATGTCCCCTTCTGAAGAAGAACCTATTTCAACACTAAGAATTCAACTTTAAGTCGTACCTCCATTTACAAATGTGTTAGTTATACCAGCGTGCAGTCCTCTCAAAGGGATCTTAAAACCACGCCCCAGCTACAAAGAATGCTTTTTTTTTTTCTTTGTAAGGAGAAGCTGAGAGGATACATGTTAAGCCTAACACTGGCTTGCCCTGCTTCAGAAATACATAAAGGGCTCTTTTTGATAGTTGTGTCCTGTGGGTTCATGAGTGAGACACGGGGGTGCACTCCCTGTTTGATAGCCTCAGGAACGTTACCCTTGTAAGTAGCTTTTGGGTCTGTGTGAGCCATCCCATTGAACAGGCTCCAGAGACTCACTCCTTAGGCTTGTGGCTTTACCTGAGCCTTTGATCCCTTTATTTTGGAGAGGAGGGGAAATTTGTGCGTAGCTGTTTGGTAGGAGTGCAGTTTCTCTGCTGTCTCCTTTTGAAATGAAAAGAGATAGATGTACCCTGTGTAACCATGCAGATCTGTGATTCCAGAGGAGGGCCGTGAAGATGATCAGAGGGCTGGGGAACCTCTTCTATGAAGACAGGCTGAGAGAGTTGGGGTTGTTCAGCCTGGAGAAGAGAAGGCTCCAGGGGGACCTTACAGCAGCCTTCCAGTACCCAAAGGGCGCCTACAAGAAAGCCCGAGAGGGACTTTTTACAAGGACATGTAGTGGTAGGACAAGGGGTAATGGCTTTAAACTGAAAGAGGGTAGATTTAGATTGGATGTAAGGAAGAAGTTCTTGACTGTGAGGGTGGTGAGGCACTGGAACAGGCTGCCCAGAGAGGCTGTGGATGCCCCATCCCTGGAAGTGTTCAAGGCCAGGTCGGATGGGGCTTTGAGCAACCTGGGGTAGTGGAAGGTGTCCCTGCCCATGGCAGGGGGGCTGGAACTAGAGGACCTTTAAGGTCCCTTCCAGCCCAAACCATTCTATGATTCCCCAGTTGAAGGTAGAGGAATCTCTCAGGCATAACCATCTCGGCATCGCCTTTGGTGCGCCGGGCTTACTTAGCAGCCCTCCTTTAACAAGGCCATTCAGCAAGGGCCAAGTCAGCCTCTGCATATTTTGACTAAATGATTTGTCTGGGATTTCATACAGGTAATATCTAGTTCTTTTGTTTTCCTCTTTATTTTTAGATGATGCCTCTTGGGATGAGCCAGATAAGCTCAACTCAGCCAAAGCAAACTTGAGGGAGCTCAAAGTTGGCTATATTTGTCTGGGAATAACTAGTCTTACAGTGGAAATAAGCATCTTTCACTTCAATATGTTACGAAGCTGTTGCTCTCTATATGGGCACCCAGTTAGCCTAAAACCAGCTGGTTTCTGGAAGGGTTTGTGTTTAGTGTTTTGAAAGGCTGCAGCTTGAGTGCATCCAAAACTAGATGAAGCAGATAGGATTGGAACAGCTAAATTCATCTTAACATAGATTTAAGTTTTAGAGCAGTAGTTTGCAATGTCCCCTGGACTCAGACGTTACACTGCCTTGTGGTGGCAAGTGTATTCTCTTTGGCTTGGCAGACTGCATATGAATTGGTATTGTACTGGTTTGGACGATGTGCTACAATAGTTCGGAATTGGTTCATAAATTCCTGTGCTTCTCCCTTTAAAATCTAAACCTCTTCTGTTTATGCTCCTCCTAAATCAGGATTTGGTGTCTACACAGGCAGAAAACGCAATTCACTGACTCCTCGATCAAGTCTGTTTCCTTGTCCGGGTTGCCAGCGGGATATTGATCTTGGAGAACGTGGCATCAATGGCTTATTTCGCAATTTTATTCTGGAAACCATTGTGGAAAGGTACAGACAGGCAGCCAGGGCAGCCATTGCTATTATGTGCGA